AATAAAAAACAGATGACATGGGCACACATCACCACCAACAGTACCACACAAGAGAATATGATGGTTCTTAAATAGGAACTTATATTAGGTACAGTTTGGTATTTGTTTTTTCTGGCTATGGAATATGTGCAAGTTTTGCTGGGAAATTGAGTGTGGTTAGGAAAAGCATTACTTAACTTTCACATAAACAGAGGAGGCCTGGGAGGTAAGGGGGGAGGGAGAACTTGATTGGATTGTAAACTCTAATCAAAATAAATGTATCTCTTGTGGCTCCCACCACCCATGCTTATAATTCAATAAGCGATAGCAATTGATTGATTACATAAAAGTCCAGAGAAATACTGATGGGAAAATTAGGCAAAAGTTGAACCGGTAAGCCTGGTTGGAGGGCAAAATGCATACTGGAAATAAAAAGGTTAAAGGGGTATGACACCTTAGATTGGGTAGAAAAGGGTCCAATGATGAAGCATCAAAGAGCAACCAGGCTGATGGTGAGATAGCTCAGTAGAAGAACACTGTAGTTATGAGGGTTGATGTCCAAACTACATACTACTTTTGGTTTCAGAGAGAAAGAGTGGATGAGGGAGATATGGAAGGAACAGTAGAAGGGTTTAGTAATAACCAGAATGTTGGCATACCCAGAATTTTTAGCATTTTTCTGATAGGGAAGACAAAATTTTGACATTTCTTCTGGAAAATTCTAGGTTATTAAGATTTCAATTAAGAGGTGCAAAGAGACTTCACATGAAACTATGTTTTAGAATATTTATCTACTTCTTTGTTGTTGCTGTTGTTCAGTCACTGTGTTGTGTCCGACTCTTTGTGACCCCATGAACTGCAGCACTCCAGGCTTCCCTGCCCCTCATTATCTCCTGGAGCTTGTTCAAACTCATGTTCATTGAGTCAATGATGCCATCCAACCATCTCATCCTCTGTTGCCCCCTTCTCCTCCTGCCCTCAATCTTTTCCAGCATTAGGGACTTTTCCAATGAGTCAGCTCTTTGCATCAGGTGGCCATCTACTTCTTAGACTTGGCTATTCATAAGTCTATATAGAGCATCTTGAACTCTATATTCTAGCAGGCAAGAAGTAATAAATGATGTTGGAAAGAAAAGCTGAGGGCAGAGTTTTTAGGTTGAGAGAGTTTAACCCAAGGTCAAAAGCTAGCAAGAGACAACACCAGGACTTCAGCTCAATCTTTGATTCTAAATCCTGTGGTCACAGAAGTCCAGGGACGGGGAAATAGGCAACATGCCACAGTTAGAATATTACTACCTTAACCTGGCAAGAGGTAATGACAACTTGAACAAAGGCAGAAGCGACAAGAAAAGAGGGAGGATGGATTTCAAAGAAACTGTGGAGGAAGTGTTAATAAGATTTGATAACTGAGTAAACATGGCAGGTAAGAAAGAAGTGTACATCACAGTGAGTGTGGGGTTTTACCAGAAACAACTCATCACACAGTGCAACTTAGTTGTGGCATCAATGAGATGAATGTATATTCATATGGCATCTAAGAGAATCAGTTCATAACAACCTGTTTAAATAAAGAAGACCATTATGATAGTGAGATTTCAACAAAAAGTTTTGCTGGATCAGTCGTGATTTTAAAAAAAAGCAGTAAAGATCTGTGATTTTTTTCCTAGCACCACTCCTCAGAATGTTGCAATTAGCATGCATGAGTAAATGCAGCCAATTTAGATTAGAGGGTTCCTGGAAAGGACATATCAAGCTTAAATAATTTATAGAAAATAAGAGATTACAGAATGTTAGAAACAGGAAAAGTCTTAAAGATCATTTAGTTCAATAATTTCCATTAAAAAAACAACTATGTACAGACCTCTACAAATATATACAAAAGTGAAGAGCATAGTATAATGAATCTCCACTGACTTATCACCAATTCGATGATTATAAATTTATGGCCAACTTTGTTTCATCTTTTTTCCCCATCCCATGATATCTGTTTCATCCATAAATATTTTAAGATTGAATCTCTAAAAGATGAGGTTTTAAAAACATAATAATAATATCATTATACATAAAACTTAACAATAATTTCTTAATACTATAAAATATGCAATTAGCAGTCAACATTTCTGTTTCATAATTTCTCTAGAAATGTCTCTGAAATCTTTTTAATCTATAGTTTCCCTTCTCTCTTTTTTTTTTTAAATTTTTGCTGCTAATAGACAGAAGCCAGGTAATATGTCTGATAAAGTTTCCCACTTTCTGAACTTTGCTGAATGCATCCCAATGATGCCATTTTAAATAGTCATATGTTTCCTATAATTTCTCTAGATATAGAGATTTCATCAGGTTCAAGTCCTACTGATTGGGACGAATGCTCCACAGGTGACGGAGGAATGATGGTCCAACTGACTGATGGTCAGTTCTTTTTTGGTGTGAAAATTCCCTTATTTTTAAAAGGTGGCTTAAATTGAAGTCTTCTTGAGGTTAAGTGGTTCACATGTTGGTAGAACAAACTTTCAGTCTTTTGATTCTCAGTACTCAACCCCTTTTATTGTATCTTATACTATTAACAACTTACTGAATGATTATAGTGTACCAATTAACTCTGCTAGGAATTGCATGAGATGTGGCTGCACCAGTTCTCAAAGTTACCCAAGCCCTAAATCCAGAAATCATCCTAATCTTCTCCACTTCTCTAACTTCTACTGAGTCCTATTACTTTTATCTATTTAACATCACTTTTCTTTGCTCCATTCTTTCCATGTCCCATGGCTACTGCTTTAGTTTAGACTTTTACTGTTGCTTTTCTGGACCACTAAAATATCTTCTTGAAATTCTCCTCCTCCACAACAATCTCACTTCCCTCAATCCACCTCTGCCTTATCAACAAAAGATTTTTCTAAACTTCAATTCTAAATATATTGTTTTTCTGATTATCTTTTGGGATTCTCTCATTTCCATGGTGGAGTCTGAACCCCTTAGTGCAGCCTAAGCCCCCTCCCTCGTCTGGCCTTTGCCCATCTGACCAACCTCATCTGTTCCTACATCCATTCACTATATTCTAATCTATTGAATCACTGAAGATTTTTCAATGTGCCAGCAAGGATACATAGCGATTAAAAGCAGGCTCTAGAACTGGACTTGACTTTGGTCCTTAGATTCCCCCATTTATTAGCCATCTAACCCAGGGCATACTTAACCATCCCAGGGCCTCACTTGCCTCACCTGTAGATGGGAATAACCTCATAGAATTGTTTTCTGTGTGGGAAGGATAAGTAAAATTACAAACACAAATGAAGAACTAGCATGAGAGAATTCAGTGAATGCTAGATACTGTTGGTATGTTTTTCATGTTTCCATATCCTTTAAACTCATTCCCAAGAATGTTTTTTCTCTTCCTTCGTGATAACATCTTATCTATGGACAGTAAACCCCTATTCTGATGTCACAGCCCAGCTCCATTGCTCATGTGTCATTTAGAATTAAAACACCATACATTCATAGCGCCTCTAAACCTTGCATATATTTTGACTGCTCTGCCTCAGATCCATCTGCACATGCATGCATGCATCAGTTGCTCACTCATGTCCAACTCTGTGACCCTGTGGACTGTAGCCCACCAGGCTCCTATGTCCATCGGATTTTCCAAGCAAGAATACTGGAGTGGATTGCCATTTCCTCCTCCAGGGGATCTTCCTGACCCAGGGATTGAACCTGTGTCTCCTACAATGGAGGCGGATTCTAAAACTTTTAAAGACAAAGACAGGATCTGTCTTGTTTTTGGCTCTCCATCCTGGAACACTTGCTTTCTATTGTCCTGGGTCAGTGGACAGTTCCGTAATTTAAAGTTTGGTAAATTGAACTAAAATGGGGTTGAGTTGAATTTTTAGAGCTTATCCAATTGTCTTGACTATGAGTCTATATCTTTTATTTTTTTTAATTTATTTTTTTGTTGTTGTTGAGTCTATATCTTTTAAGCAACTTTCCTGAAACAAAAGACAATTTATCCAAAGCATCTAACAGGGTGACTGGCACATACGTTTAAAACTAGTATTTATTAATTTTTGGTTTCTCAGGTAGACTTCACCGTTAGATGAAGGTTTAATGACTGGACAAGCAGAATATGCAAGCTATTAAGCTAAGTTTCTCTTTGCAAATTAAAAAATTCAGTACTTTCGTTTATCAATCAGTTTCTTGTGTGTCTGGTTTCCATGAATCATCTCTATAACAATAGCTCACCCTTGCCAGCTCTAATCACTGTTTTCTATACCCATGGGAAAAAAATTAAATGTGAAAATGAACAGAAAAGAGGTATACTGAAGCCCAAGAAAATACACTGAGGTGACATTTCCTGTACAACAGAAAAAGACCATACAAGTAGATAGTCTAAAGAGGTTTATTTTACAATGCAAAAACTGCAACCTGCTTCTCAGTAGCAGGATTCTCAAAAACTTAGTATAAATTTTATACTCAGCAATATATCTCAGGAAATATATTTTATAAATTCTGACATTTAATTATACCAAATTTATTAGTCACTAAATCATATTTGAATAACAAAAAATTGATTTTAAAGTATTAATTGCTTATCAGCTCCTGTCTTTTATTATTTAGTTTATCTTTTTTTACTAAACTAATAATGTAGGACTATTTCTGATTACAATAAATTTTCTTTCCTTTCAACACAATGAAAATTTTTATAATTATGAAAATTTTAAACAGTTAAATCTCTTGCTATTTATTTTAATCAAATCCAGTATATTTTTATATATATTCAGAACTCAAACTATTCATCTTCATCTTAACCTTCAATTAAATTCCACAATGCAAACCTCTTGGCACTAGAACCACAGTTCATGTTTATTCAACTGAGCTTGTGTCTTGAAAAAGTGTGGAAGTTTGGGAGTTTTCTGGTGAGAATCCACATTCTGACATCACTTTGGCCATGACAGTGATTGGCTGTGGGAAGGCAAAAAAGAGTTTATAGCCCACAAGAGCAAGTGAATGAGTGAGTGAGAGAGCAGAGAGAGTACTCAATCTGTGTCACTCACTCCTGGGAGCCTGCCTTCTCACTCCAGGACTGCAAAAGGTAAGGTTTAATGTAACAACTTCATTATCTTATAAATCAGACATTCTGCATTTCACATCTCTGGGCTTGGTTTTGAACATTCTATTTAAATATAGATATTAACACATTGTAGAGAATTGCTATGTAATATAACACTTGTTTATCATTAAACTAGTACCTCAGGTTTTAGATTCTTTTGAAAAGGCTGTTTATTAACCTATGCATGTAAGTAAGCTCTTATTATTATGTACATTAACTAGAAAATTATGCTTTCTACTTTCTATCTCTGTACCTCAAGATAACTGTTTTTGCTCATTCTAACACATCAAGGTAACCTAACTGGAATACTATTTTGCATTTATAGAAGTGTCTCAATGTATGTTGATTTCTCCATCAGTTATGCCTAATCTGTACTTCAGTTATAAACAATATTTTCCAAAATATATATTTGGTTTCAAAGTGTTAATATCTTATAGCTCTAAAATCAGAATGGAAAAATGCATAGTACTAGGGAAATAAATAATGCTGTTAGTTTATCATACTCTTCCCAATAAAAACTTGCAATTAGATTCTCAAAACAATCCTTTAAAAATTTTTGAATTGTTGTCTGGGTTAGTAGTGGGCACTATAGAGGTCTTCTGCTCTTGATGAATCACAAAGTAAATAAAATGAGATTTAGGTACACAGCAGATTGCTGCCTAGGTGAATCACTTGGTTCTTTTTATATTATTCCTGTTATATTTTCATCTAGTTGTTTTTAAGGTTTGTTATGAGAAATTTTATACTCCAAAATCTTTCTACAGTTCTACATATTTACATTTTTAGCTCTTCAAGATACTGCAATTATTCCAACTCTTTTCATAAAGTTACAGAGCAGTAATCTTCCTGTTTGTTGGTGGGCTCCATCATGAATGGCCAAATTCAAAGTATTATTCAGAGAACCTCAATAGCAATGAAAGCTTCTTAAACAGACAAGTCCCCTTCAGAGGAAAGCCTCTTTATTCCCATGTGGCCTCAAGAACTAAAGTAGACAGGTCTGTGAGCAAGCTAACAAGCAGCAAAATCAAAGACCCACTCCACCACAAAGACAGGTGACAGAGGACCCAAGACAGATTTTCCAGGCCTCTAACCTTCCTCTGTGTAATGTTTATTTTAGCTTCAGATACTCAATAAGGATGTGATAAATCATGACCAGTGATGATAAAATGCAGAATCTACTTTCAGATATAGTATATGACATGGATTTCATACATTTTAAATATTACATCTCCCAGTGTATTTATGGGGAAATTCTGATCACCATTACATACTGCTTTTAAACATTGCCAAAGCTGTCACTCTGGAGGAGAACTCTCTCAGTTAAGTGTTGGTGGCTTTCAGCTAAGTTTGTTCAACTTTTATTAAATTAGGATTTTATCAAACAGAATGAAATTAGGATAGGATTTCATGATTGCTCTCCTTTGCCTGTGAGAAATCTATATGGAACTGAGATCTTTGCAAGGCTGCAAACCCCATGACTGTTCACAAACTACTCCTATTCTGAGAGTTGCATCTTCTATTCCTCCACAGAACTGACATGACTATCACCCTGACCCTGGAAAGGCCCACGTCCATTCCATAACAATCTCCCACACCAGTGATTATAAGCTTAAATGGAACTGGAGAACAATGTAATTTGAGGAGATTTGCCTCTGATATCCCAAGATGAACTCTGATAACTTTTCTCATATATTTATCCTTAAACATGGATGTTGGGGTGCTACATGTTGTGAGAATAATATTTCACATATCATGGGTTTTTCACACACATAAAAATTCAAGTATTCTAAGATATCCATGGAAAATTGGCTCTTAGTCTTCATAGTACAAATAAACTTTTAGTTTAAAAGCTATATAGATGCTAAAAAGAGCCTGTAGGACAACTGGCATAAAAGTAATCATTCAAATGTATTCAATTTTTTCCTTAGTTTTTAATTATAAACAAAACAAACAGGTCACATAACTGCCCCAGCTGGTGTTCCATGCCAATGGTATCATGAGGTCTCCTCACCCCAATGTGAAACACACTAAGCATTCAAACTCTGGCAGTAATAAAATGGATTCTCATTTACAAGTCAGATCAGATAGGTTAAAACCAAATATGGAACTCATGATTATTCAAATAGATGGATAAAGTCTATCTTCTACCACTTACATAGAAGGAACAATTTTAAAACAAAAGCAGAAATTTGGTCCTAGTTAGTCAAAACTTTAATTGGACAAAAAATGAAAACAAATTAAATACATCTCCTAGTATGTGAAGAAAAGCTACATTCTTAGTTTTACTGATTAACTTTACCACTTCATTAATTCCAGAAGCAATCACCAAAATGAAGACAGTTTTAATTTTGCTCAGCATTTTGGGAATGGCCTGTGCTCTTTCAGTAAGTTCTTTACTAAAAACCTATAGTTATTTCCATTTTTTGCCTTTTGATATTAAAAAGAGAATATATAGTAATTGATTGCTCTTTTAAACAGATGAAAAATTTGCATCGAAGAGCCAAATTAGAGGATTCTGAAGAAAATGGGGTAATTCATTTTAGCATGATTCCTTGGTTCGACTACACTTACTCTAGATTTATTGTACATGAAACATGAATATATCATTTATTGTGTTCATGCAGGTATTTAAGTACAGGCCCCGATACTATCTTTATAAGCATGCCTACTTTTATCCTGCTCTAAAACGATTTGCAGTTCAAGTAAGTATAAAAATTAATTTTTTTCACTCTTTATAATTGAAAGGGGATTGAATTTAACTACAAAACACCTAAATTCAACTCTCACTGAAATTCAGCCAGAAAGACCACTTGCTAAAGCAGTCTGTTTTTAATATAATAAAGCTTATTCCCAAGTTTTCTTATAAAGCAGAGCTATACATGCACATAGAATACACTCATTTGGGCCCAGTCTAGAATGATATAATGAAAGCAAACACCACAGAAGATTGAGTTCAGGTGTTTTGACTAATTCACTGACCAAGTGGACAATTTTATCAGTTGTTGACATTTAAGTGATGCAGCCACTAACTGCCATATTCTAGTAGATTCAATACTGTCATATAGCTGTTTTATATCCAATAACGTAGAGTCCTTTAATTTAGGGGGAAATGAATTCATAAACAACAAAGACCATTACAAAATTCCTGATAATCTATGGTTTGCTGAAGATTTTCTTAACCTTTGACCTGTGTAATTCACTAGAATAAGAATGGCTCAAGAATGCAAAGGAAAGAGAGAAATTTATGAAGCAAACTAAAAAACTTGTGAGAAAAACAAAACATCCTTAAAATTTGTAAACAAACAGAAAATAACTAACCACTAAAAATAAGAGTTTCTGTTTATACTGGGTTACTACCTGTGAAGAGGGTTCTGAAAACTAGAGGGTGTGGTGCTGATTTTAAATAGACAACAAACCAGCACTGTGCTATTTTTATTACTATACAGTTTGGGTTCAGGGCACCAATTATGCACCATCTGACCTAGGACTTCTGAGACACTAAAAGCAGTCAGGACGTTGAAAACTATGCCTCAGCACAGTGGCTTGGCATAACATCCTGCCATATGTTGAGCTAATCCATTTCTAACTCATACAATGATAGGAAAAGATCATTTTAAAGTATTTCTAGCACCATAATAATTATGGGGAATGTGTGTAGCCGCAGAAATATGAGCACAGTTGATACAAGCATTGTGGGTTTTCAGAATTGCCTTCCATTCTTTTGTTTGCCCATAAAAAACAGTGCTCATTTGAAATTTTGTTGTCTTTTTTAAACAAAATAGAAATGATAATACATTCAAATTTTGGACTACTTCCTCAACTTTTCTAAAATATCATATACTTAGAGATATTCCTATCTAGAAAATTTTACAGATATATACATGTGGTCCAATTCAAATGTCAACACTGAAAAGATATTAGGAAAGGTTATATTTTTCCTTATTGATAGACCCAAACTTCACAGATTTTTAAGCAGATCTTTAATATTCAAAATTGCTACAGACTATATGCAGGTAGGTCTATCTCAAGCAATGTAGAATTTGTAAATAAGAGAGTTGTTTTAAAATAGAATTCGTAACACAACATTGTAAATCAACAATATGCCAACAAAAAGTTTTTTAAAAAGAAAAACTAAATTAAATAAATAAAATAGAATCCAATAAAATATATTTCACAATCTAACAGTCTGAGCTAGTATTGATGATCTACTGTTCCACTTTACAAAGTTTGATTTCTAAGATGTTTCTCCTTGCATGTCTATTTATATGCTTCCATAGCTCTTAACTATTCATTTTCTTAAGTCTATTAAGTATTTTGTATGCAGATTATCACCCCCAAAATCATTAAGCTTCATTGGCTTTGAAATTCATGTTATAGTCAGATGGAATCTTTGTTTTTATATAATCATTTCCAGAATACCAATATGCATGAAATATATTGATTGCCAGGCTGTCAGCCTATTACAGTTTATCTGCTTGGCTATAGAAATGGAAGTATAAATAAGGTTAATACCCTAAGCATTTTTATTTGAGGAAACTTTTTTTATGATTAAAATATTTGATTAGTGTGTGAACTCTTAGACAGCAAGGACTTTATCTTATATTTCTTTTATCAGACTCATCTCAATTATCACAGTACTTGACGTGGAAAAACTGCCCATATTTCCAACTTCCTCTCTTGCTATGATTCTGATTATCAGTACAACACCTGGAATGTGTCTTCTGGAATTGAAAAAATCCAGTAAGGATAGAGGTTGGAAGGTGTATATGAAAGACTTCCAGAAGGATCTGTAGGACTTAGTAACAACTTGGTAATAAGGCCTAACTGAAAGAAAGGAGAATAAAAAAATGCTGAGGCTTCAAGGCATTTCAAGCAGTTTTAAAATTGTCTTTACATAGGTACTAATTGTGGCTGAAGTAGAATGAAAGCTAGGGGTGAGGAAGCTTGTAAAATGATTAAAACACTCCCACTGAGTATGATTTCAACACCTTTAGACCATGAAATTTTTGTACCTTGTTTTATGTCCCTGGATAAGTTCCAGAGTTTCCTGGTTTATAGTCTATGGGAACTTGAATAGAATTTTTATCCTGCTGTTGTATGAAAATCAAATAAATCTTAATTACATTAAAAAACCATTCCTGCTGAGACAAAATACACTACACAAATAAGCTGTCCTCTCTCTGTTTAATTTAACTAACAAACAGAAATGGTTTCAATAGAACCTTATGCTTTTTTCACCTCTGGGCCAGGGAAGACACAGCCATTAAGGTCATGGCAGTGGAAGAGTCAGTCTAATTGTTCTCTTTTCCACCGACGATTATTCTTGGCTCAAAGGGACAAGCATTCCTTTCCCTGGGTGTATGGCGTGGCCACCTGAAGAATGAGCCCAACAGGCAGAGACCTGAGCAGTACTGGGACATAAATATTCCCTCAACTGATCTCTCACCCTAAGGCTCTTCTATAGCTATGTTTTCTAAGACCCACAGTACTTCACAAGTCACCAGAAGCAAAGATAAATTTGCAGGGCAGAAATGATAGAATCTTATGTTGGGTTTTTACTTATACCAAGGATAAATAGTGGTTGCAGGAAAAGAAGGAAAATTCAATTGGGATTAACATTTCCTTTTAAAAAGTAGCAAAGTTGGGACTTCTCTGGCCCAGTGGCTAAGACTCTGGACTCCCAACATAGGAGGCCTGGGTTCAATCCCTGGTCAGGGAACTAGGCCCTGCATGCCACAACTAAGAACTGTAAATATACATAAATATTTATTTATGTATAAATACATACATACATACATATTTTTAAAAACATAACAAAGCTCATTAACTTTTATTTTTATATAGACTCCTTGGTTTAATTTATTCTCATTCAATATTGAGCTTTTTAGAGAAATGGTACTCATAAATTTCCTAAATAGGTAAATTATTTTATCTTCTTATATAACTTATATCTCTTCTATGAATTTTTCTCTCATAAAGTTTTATAGACATACACTTCAATTTAGGAATGGCTTTAATTAGATTGGGCTTCCCTGGTGACTCAGATGGTAAAGCGTCTGCCTGCAGTGTGGGAGACCCAGGTTCAATCCCTGGGTTGGGAAGATCTCCTGGAGAAGGAAATAGCAACCCACTCCAGTACTCTTGCCTGAAAAATTCCATAGACTGACGAGCCTGGTAGGCTACAGTCCATGGGGTCACAAAGAGTCGGACACGACAGAGCGACTTCACTTTAATTAGATTAAAAGGTACTAAAATTATACGCAAAGTTAATTTCAAGTCAAAGTCTAATTTAAATTCACCAGGAGAGCTCATCATTTAAGTAATCATCCAGGTGGTGCTACTTATAAAGAACCTGCCTGCAGTGCTGAAGAAAAGGAGACACAGATTAGATCCCTGGGTTGGGAAGATCCCCTGGAGGAGGGCTTGGCTACCGGCTCCAGTATTCTTGCATGGAGAATCCCATGGACAGAGGAACCCAGCGGGCTACAGTCCATAGGGTCGCACAGAGTCGGACATGACTGAAGCAACTTAGAACACAACAACTTATATTTTGTAATAATTCTAATGATCATTTATTCATATTTTATAAAGAAAATGAAACAATGGTATCTATGTTTTAGCTTAAGATTTGCCTTGAACTGGCTGGAGAATTCAGCCACTGTGAGCTTCAGATTCCTTCTCTGTAAAATGAAAAAGTTGGACCAGATAATCCTCATTCTCTCAGAGCTAAGTCATTCTGCCATTCTTTGCTCTAGTTTTTACACACAAAATGTTTTAACATATTGTCAATTCTTTTGAAGTTAAAAATGGAGTATTTCAAAGCATATCTTGGTCACTGTAAAATACACCTTTTTCTCTAACCTCATTTTGTATATGTCTAGTCTCTTCATATCTTTCTCACAGCAGTTGAGAGCTGTTCTAAGTAAATAAATACATATGTACATATATTCATATGTGTATGAATTCATGTATACATATTTTTTAGAGCAGTAGTGACTCATCTGAAGAAAATGGAAATGGTGATAGCTCAGAAGAGGAGGAGGAAGAAGAGGTAAGGAATTTCTGCAGTCTTTTTTTTTTTTATAACAAACCAGGCAGCACAAAATAAATAAATAGGAAACTAGTTTCCTGTAGCTTAGACTCAGCAAATAGCCACTGCCAGCTTACCAATTGCCCCCAGTCTTCTATTTTGAAGAAGGGGGGTATTATTTAAATTAGAATTAACTAAAACGATCTGTTTAAAACACTATTACAGTTTGGGTACACTTATTACAGGTACACTTATGTACCTGCAAGTGGTACATAAATACAAAAGTATCTCCATTTTAAGTGGAAGAAATGTTGATTCTGAAAAAAAGGAAGAAAGCATTATTTACATTTATAGATGGACAGAGTGTGATGGTGAAAAATAAATACATAATAATCCTAAACTTAGTGTAATACTTCTTTTATGTATTGCACTGTTTATAAGGACTGAACTTTAAAAATTCAGTTTGATGAGTGGGTAGTATAAGAAAGTTAGTCTTAGATTCTCTACAGTGTTATTGTGTCATCTGCCTTTCTTTCTTTTTTAATGTTCATTTATTTATGGTTGTGCTGGATCTTTGTTGCTGTGTGCAGGCTTTCTCTAGCTGTGAGTGGGGTTACTCTAGTTGCAGTGCTCGGGTTTCTCATTGTGGTGGCTTCTTTTGTTGCGGCGAGCTCAGTAGTTGTGGCCCATGGGCTTAGTTGCCCTGTGGCATGTGGAATCCTCCCAGACCAGAGATCGAACCCATGTCCCCTGAATTGGCAGGCAGATTCTTAACCACTGGACCACCAGGGAAGTGCCTCATCTGCCCTTCTTGACTCACAAAGTAGGGTTGTTCTTTTTAATTGGATTTCATATGTCTTTTTGTCTAATAATAAAATTCATGTCCTTGCAGAAATGCAAATACTCAAGATGTAGAAATATCTTCCTATACAGTACTACAAATTAGTGTAGTTTACGGCTAAAATTCTACATAACCTGGAAATTGTACTAACGTGTTTACAGCTAATATCCTTGCCCATGCAAATTACTATTTAGGTACATTTTCCTGGATAGTCAATTATAGCTATCCACTGGTTTGGGAACCTTCTAAATTCAGGTATTCTTAGGTGCTATTTATAAAGGGACAATGACAGTCCAAAATGGATCATGGATAAATGTCTGCTATCCTGAAAACAAAGTGGTATGGGAACTTTAAGAGTGACAAATAATTAGTTTAATTTTTTAAACCATAAAATAACATTTTCAGTACCATAATTTAACCCAACAGCTTTTAAAGGAAGACCTTACAAGAATGTCAAGCCAGTACCAGGAAAAATGCCACCTATTAAATCCCACAAAATTTTGCCCGGAGTTCCACATACTAATCTTACACAAGAACTAAGCCAGGGTAATCCATTTAACTACAGCTGTTTGCTGTACAGTGACTGTAAAATTGCCTTACCAGCTAGATTTCCCAATTGGATTGCATACCTTTTGGCAATGGATCTTCATTTGTTGTAATGGTGGTTGGGGATGGAAGAAGATTGAGTCCTTCAGGACTCTGATGAAATCTCACCTACTCAATATTTTCCCAACAGTCTGTGAACATTTCTAGTCCTCTCAGAACTTATGTGCAAACTCCCAAGACCCAGGACCTTGAGACCACAGGTTACAACCCCTGCTTTGAGGATGAACAGTGCTGTAATCTCTTCTGCATCTCTTCACGCTGCCCAGCTCAGATTCTTATATGTATTTAGTGCCCAGTCAATATTTGCTGGTTCAGTTTTAGAACTTCAGAGGAATAAATGCTCCAAAGACCATTCATTCAAAGTGATAATGGAACACTGCATGAATAAAATTTGTAGTCTTCCATCCTGAAGAGAATTTAGAACTTCTTTTTTCCCCATCTCTTCTCTAAAATTTCACTGGCAATTTAGGTTAAATACAGAGTCCCCAGGAATTGTATTCCCAGGATCAGGTGCTTAGGCATATTTTGTACTTCATGATCATACATTTTTTTCCCCTCTCCTAAATTATCTCACATTTTAAAGTTTTATTGACACATTGGCTTCCATTGTGGCTCAGCTGGTAAAGAATAGGCCTGCAATGTGGGAGACTTGGGTTCTATCCCCGGGTTGAGAAGATCCCCTGGAGAAGGGAAAGGCTACCCACTCCAGTATTCTGGCCCGGAGAATTCCATGGACTTATACAGTCCACGGGGTCGCAAAGAGTCAGACACGACTGAGCGACTTTCATTTTCAATATACATAACACAATTATCGTAAGTCTGTAGATGATTGAAATTTCAGAAATCGAACACTTTGTCTTACCCAGAACCTATAGAAAAAGCAGCATGTGTTTTGTGCTCTATTCCATTCATTAATCAACCCCACCAAGGGCAAATGCTATGATGACTCCTATCAGAAAGATTGTTTTTGGCTCTTTCTGTGTTTCATTCACATACACACATGTATATATGGAATCATGCAGCATATACACTTTTACATGTAGCTTCTTTCACTCTCAGCTTCAGAGACTGACCCATATGGTTCTATAGTTGTAAATCATTTGTTTTCAATATCAGTATTTCATCATGTCTGTGTGTCACAATGTGCTAATGTGTTGATGGGCAGTTAAGGAGTTTTCAGATTTGGGCTGTGACCAAAGAGTGCTGCTGTAAATGTTCTAGTACTCCTTCTGGTAAATATATGCATTCATTTCTGGAGGCCACTTTACCTAGACATGAAATGTCTATGTTGAAAGGTCTGCATATATTCATCCTGAGGAGATGCCACCAACAGCTTCCCACAGCCAAGATACTAATGTAAACTCCCACTATCCCTATAGGAGCATTCCATCAGCTCTACATTCTCATCAACACATTTCTTTGAGCCATTTTAGTCATTCTAGTGGGTTAATAATACACTCAAGTACAAATGACTGTTAATTTTTCTATTCAAAAAGATATTTGAGGTCTAGGGCTTTCCTGGTGTCCCTGATGGTAAAGAATTCATCTGCAATGCAGGAGACCTGGGTTTGATCCCTGGGTCAGGAAGATCCCCTGGAAAAGGGAATGGCTATCTACTCCAATATTCTTGCCTGGAGAATTCCATGGACAGAGGAGCCTGGCAGACTATAGTCCATGGGGTTGCAAAGAGCTGAACATGACAGAGCGACTAACACACATACATCCATCAAAAGTTTGACCTACTTTCCTTTTTAAGTCACTGCAGCAGGACCACCTTAAATAAAGTACCAGAAAAAGAAAGGGTGTTGTAGGAGAAAATAGAGAATCCTACGAATTGGGAGCCTGGGTCTGTGGTCACGACCCTGCTGCTAATGAAACACCATGTCTTTGACCTCATGCTAGTCATTTGTCCCACTGGACCTCAGTTTTTTCACTTGTGAAACAAGTGTGAAGGACCCAATCTGTATATTTTCCTACCCAAAAGAGCTTTCCTCTTTCTCCCCTAAAAGGTTCAGTCTGTTGGACTAAAGTATATAAACATGAAAAAGTAAATAAACAGTATGACGTTTGTGGAATATTTGACAAAGTTAGCTTGGTGACTGTTTTGAGGTGGACTCTAGTAGTCCCAAGCATTCATTGAAACAGTAAAATTTACAAATCTGATGAAACAGACATAGATCATTTTTGTAATAAGAAAAGCTAAATGTGGCTTTTGTTTGTTTGTTTTGAAGTCTTAAAATATAAGATGCCTAGTTAAAGTTATCCTAATATATAATCCCTATAAAAATGCATTGAAATAAATTCACTTTTCTAGTACTCATTTAAACTAAATAAATTCTCTGTGTATGAATTCCTGACTTTCAATACTAGCTATGAATTACTTTGGGAGATTAACTCAGTCAACAGTTTATTGCCTAACAACATGGAGTAAAGACAAAATAGTAAAATATTGAAGATGATAAAAATATTCATAGAGGAGTAGTAATTTTTAGAAAACATCTTCCTATAACATAATACATCAGTAAGAATTTATTGGAGTGTTTAGTTTCTTCATTTCACACAAAAATCATGGAATCTTTTGAATAATGCACATAGCTCAGAACTGGCTTATATGTTAGCAGATGGATTTTGAATTTAATATATCTCTTTTTCTTTAAATACTCTTGAAAGTAAATGAAATACATTCACTTCTTTTTTTTTTTTTTGTAGTACATAAGACATGCAATTAACTTGTTTGAAGAGAGGGGGTTCTATAAAAAAAAAAATTCCTTAAAATAAAAACATCCTAGGTGTAGTGTGGGCAATTCACATAAATCCTCCTCCTCATCGAAAATCATCATGGTACAATAAAAGGGCTCACTTTTTCTTTTGGTTAGAAAGATATAGTTTCATCACTCACCATAAGATTTTAGTTAATTATTTAATTTATCTGAGCTTACTTTCCTTTTCTAAAGAGTATAAGTAATAATCTTACCTTACAAGGCATCTCTAGGGAATAAGAAAATAAGTCTAAATTTCTCAGCTTATTTGTCAGCAAATACAATAATTAATGTACTATCATGTCACAGTAGTTATTAATAAGACTTCAAGCTGCTGCTGCTGCTAAGTAGCTTCAGTCGTGTCCAACTCTGTGCGACCCCATAGCCGGCAGCCCACCAGGCTCCGCCATCCCTGGGATTCTTCAGGCAAGAACACTGGAGCCTAAGCTATATATGCTATGATACCATATAGTTAGATGTGCTGAAATTGTTACATAAATATTTTTTAATTGATTAAATAGAATATAGAAATATCTAAAACACACCAGAGTGAGGTAAATAGGGTAAAAATACTTTGAATTCCAAGAAGTGAGAACTGCAGCTGGCATAAGAGGAAGCCGAGTTGTCAACACTGGGAGACAAGATGGCTGAGGGAAACCATCGACCATTGTTATTTTCCCAGTAATGGTTCATGACTCCAACAAATCTTCAGTTATCTTTCAGTTAAAATAATTTTTTCTTGCTCTGGACATTTTCAACAGGAGACTTCAAATGAAGAAGGAAACAATGGAGGGAATGAAGATTCTGACGAAAATGAAGATGAAGAATCAGAGAATGCCACCCTTTCCACTACCACACTTGGCTATGGAGAGATTACACCTGGAACTGGAGACATAGGTCTAGCTGCCATCCGGCTTCCCAAGAAGGTAACAATTCCTCCAAAATGTTCAATCTGCTTTCCTTTCTTTACTGAAGTCCGAGGTTATCCTGACACTATACATACAGTATTTTATATTATCTTCATTAACTTGATGAAAAAGTAAGAGCAGGTACAATATTCCTGTTTACAAATAAATAAGGAGAGATCTTTTCCTAGGCAAGATCTCTTCCCATGTTCTTACACTGACTTTTCAACATTATCACAGAAGACAAAGGCCAAGCATCTTAGCAATGGATAAAAAGTGCTGAGAGATACCACTGCATTTCTGGGAAGAGGTTTCCAAGGCAGAGAAAGCAGGTAGCAAAGCTATAGAAAGCATCTCCCACAGAAAAGACTTATTTATCAAGTGGCTTTTTTTCCATTAGCATCCAATGACAAAGGTACTAATTCTGAATTTAAAACCTCCACCAGGTTCTTTTGTAAGTTAAACTGGTTTCTATTCAAAATTGCATGTAGTACAATAATGTCAGTACAGAAAGCTTGTGTTGGATGAAACAATGGCCTTAAGTTTTATGTTTTTTTCACGCCTAGATTTGAATTCTTTCAAACTCTTCCTTATAGGCTGGGGCTACAGGAAAGAAGGCTA